GCCTGACCGGGATGATAGTGGCCCTAGGCCGATTCATCTCGAGATCATCAGACCAGAGTCATCATTTCTTCTCCTTGCTCAAAAAGAAAAATATCTTTGAGTGGACTCCGAAATGCCAGCATGCTTTAGAGGAATTAAAACAGTATCTCTCGAGCCTACCTTTGCTCCACACTCGAAAGGAAGATGAAATGTTGTACTTGTATCTGGCCGTATCCAAAGTAGCGGTAAGTGATGTGTTGGTTCGGGAAGAACAAGGTACACAATTCCCTGTTTATTACGTAAGTCAGACTCTAGGAGATGCTGAAACCAGGTATCCGCACTTAGAAAAATTAGCTTTTGCATTAATAAGTGCATCGCGGAAATTAAAACCATATTCAATGCCATCGGATACGTGTTTTAACGACATACCCTCTTCAAAACATCTTGCGCAAACCTGAATTATGGGCAGATTGGTGAAATGGGCCATCGAGCTCGGAGGGTATGATATCGAGTACCAACCCCGGACGGCTATCAAGTCCCAAATTTTGGCAGACTTCGTGGCCGACTTTATGCCTGCCCTCGTACCCGAAGTAGAGAAAGAACTCTTGCTAAAAACGCGCACATCATCGGGGGTATGGACGCTATTCACCGACGGTGCCTCGAACATGAAAGGGTCTGGGCTCGACATCGTTCTGAAACCGCCTACGGGCGGCGTGATTAGGCAATCTATAAAAACTTTGAAATTTACTAAAAACGAGTCCGAGTATGAGGCTATGATTGCAGGTCTCGAGCTGGCCAAGAGCCTAGGAGTAGAAGTCGTCGAAGCAAAATGTGACTCCCTTCTGGTAGTCAACCAAGTAAATGGGAGCTTCGAGGTTCGAGAAGACAGGATGCAAAGATACTTAGAAAAACTTCATTTCATATTGCATCGCTTCAAAGAATAGGCTCTGGACCACATTCCTCGAGATCAGAACATTGAGGCCGACACACTCGCAAACCTGGGGTCGTTCGTCGAAAAAGATGACATACTCCCGGGGGCTGTCGTACAATTACCCATGTCGGTGATTGAAGAAGGCCATGCCGAGGTCAACTCAACAAGTCTAACATGGGATTAGAGGAATAAATACATCGACTATTTAAGAAATGGGAAGCTGCCCACAGACCCAAAAGAATCGAGGGCCCTTCGAGCCAAAGCAACTCGATTTTCACTCGATGAGAATGGAACACTATATAGAAGGACCTTCGATGGACCTCTAGCATTATGCTTGGGACCGGGGGACACCGATTATGGACTTCAGGAAATCCACGAAGGCACTTATGGAAATCATTCCAGCGCCGATTCTTTGGTTCGAAAGGTGATCAGAGCAGGCTATTATTGGCATAACATGGATAAGGACACCAAGGAATTCGTTCAAAGGTGTGACAAATGCCAAAGGTTCGCGCCAATGATTCACCAATCCGATGAACAGTTACACTTAGTCTTATCACCATGGCCGTTCATGAAATAGGGGATGGACATCATCGTCCCTCTACCAACGGCGCCAGGTAAAACTAGATTTATTCTATTTATGACTGACTATTTTTCAAAATGGGTGGAAGCACAGGGCTTGGAGAAGATAAGAGAAAAAGAAGTCATCAGGGCTATCTCTATTACGAGTTCGAGCAAACGTTCACTCGACTATTAAGCCCAAGGGTTACGCGAGTTCGAGTAAGTTCTCACTCGGGGACTATCTATAAAGCCTTAGGGCTATCTTTATTTTGAGTTCAAACAAATTTTCACTCAATTAAGGGCTACCCAAGTTCGGGCAAACTCTCATTAGGGGACTATGTGTAAAAGCCTAAGGGCTATTTTTATTTTCAGATGATCGAGCAAACACTCACCCGGTTGCTAAGTTCAAAGGCTACCTGAGTTCGAGAAAATTCTCACTCGAGGACTGACAACGAAGCCTGAAAGGGCTAGCTTTATTTCAAAAATCGAGACCCAGCTCTCACTCAACTCGGACTTAGAAGTCCCGGTGACCTAAGTTCGCATCAAATCAATCCAAGCTTACTTTGAGGGATAACAAAAGACTTTAAGAAGCATCATATTAATTAATTAAAAACCTAAGGGTTATTATGTTCCGGGTCCAGTATTCGGACTAATCATTAGAGTCATACACTTGGATTTTTCACAAATGATGGCAGAATGGAGTTCAACACGAATCGAAGGCGAAATGAAGAGATTCTTATATTAATAAAAGATGTTTACAAAGCCCACGAGGGGCCCTTATAAACAGCAGCCAAAGGCCTAATCTACTTTCGAAGGTTATCCTCAAAAAGCAACATCTTCGAGGACCTTTTCCTCGGGGACTCCATTTTAAGGATAGTCCTTAGAGCGACGTCTTTGAGGACCTCCTCCAAAACAACAATAGATGGAGGAAATGCTATAGCCTATCAAAGAGCAAAGGCTTTTAACAAGCAAAGAAAATTATGGCCTGCTGAAAAACTTGGCGAGTATGGGTCTCGTCAGCACTACTATTGTGAAGCCACTTCTTGAGAAATTGTGCCGGTATGGAAAGTAAAAGGAACGAAGCGCCACACCAGGTTGAAGTTAAGAGAGATGAGCGGCGGTATAAAGACCACATATCTTCTGATTCGGGAAGAATTTGGTGCCCCTCTCTTATTGATTCGGGCCAACAACAACAACAACAACTCAGTATAATCCCACTTAGTAGGGAAAAGCTTTAAAAATCAACCATGGGATAACTGACAAAGTTGCTACCGTCTAACCTTGTGGTCACAAGTTCGAATTATAAAAATAGGATGTTAGAAGAGGATATAGAGAAGGGAAAGGGCTAAAGGATGAAGAGAGAATGAGTGAAATTTTGGTTTAAGTAATCCCTTATTTATAGGGAAATGACGACGAAATTGACGATGCATTCAATGTCTCTGGGAAAACGGACCGGCGGTACATTCAATATTTCTGGGGGAACGAATCGACGGGACGTTTCGATCACTTCGAATGCTTACGTCACGAGCATGATGTCATCACGAGAGGCTCGAGAAAATCAAGGTCAAAGTCGTTTCATATCATTCTATTCTAAGAAACGCAGGGACTATCTGTATACGGTCGATTCCGAGGGCCCCAATATCAAGGCCTCTATGGCATGTCAAGCCCAATCTCGAGGGGCCCGGAGTAAAAACTGAAGTTCGACCCCGAAATGCATACCCTGAGAAAGCATGTCGGAGACTCATCGCAGCCTACCTCGAGGCAGTATAAAATCGATGACCGTCAGGAAAAGGCGGGAAGCTCCCAAGGATGCATGGTTAGAGCTGATAAGTTCTGCAAAGATAGTACAAGCCCTGTACAAATCTGTTACACAGCTGTACTAATAGCATTTCTCTGTCATGATTAGACTTGTACTGTGGTGGGATTCGCACTTCCTATATAAAGGGGACCCTTGTCATTTTGCAACACATATGGGTATTCAATACAATAGAACATTCTCTGATTTTCTTCCCTAAACGTGCTTAACAATTGCTCTATAGATTTATTACTTCTTCATTTATTGTTCATTCATTGTTCTTCATTATCAACCTTTAAAGGCTGCCCTCGAGGTTCTATATCGCTGAGCTCGGGGCCCTCAATCTTGTGACCACACTGGTTTGCTTATCATTTCTTGCCCATTTACGCCTAGTATTATTCACATAACAACTAGTATCAAGATAAATCACGTATTTTTAGAACCACAAATCAAATATAACTGTTAATACCATTTTCAAGGTAAACATAAAGGTTTCAAAGAAAGCTTGTAGTTTAGGTTTTGTACAAGTTTGTAACTCTATATATAAGGGGCTACCACGCAATGGCCTTCTCTAATAGAGCCCACAAGTAAGGTTTGGGAAGGATGGATGTTCACCGACTTTACCTCTTACTTTGTGTGAGGTAGAGAGACTGTTTCCGATATTATCTTCAAATAGCTGAATGAAAAAACACGTATATATGTAGAAGTGTTCTTTAAATTATGCTTGTTCTTTTGCAGAAGCAGACCCTGAACTTACAATTAGTAAGTTTCGACTATGGCAGTTTAATATATACTACATGTAAATAGTATAAAACTTTTCCTACATATACATGATCCAAGTCAAAAACAGTGGGTTGTCAAAATCGCTGTAAATACGAAAAAGGCCAGATTTTAATTAATTTCTTCAGTCCAAGCTGAATGTCTTCCACCTCCTTCAGCATGCTCATCCAAGTTTAGTTCAAATAGGATTCATTTTAATAAGAGATAACTTAAAATAGCTAATTTCGTCATCTCTCTTCTACTTGTATATAAACACATACAATGTAACCATACGATAAGTGTGTGAAATACATCAAGAATTATATTGTCTTCTTGATCTTGGCTTTATAACAGCTTATTTGGAGGGTTGTTATGTATCGCATAATATATTGTTTGGTATTGTATTGTATTGTATATATTGTATTGTATTGTACTATTATCGTTTTGATGTATAAAATGTTTAGATAGATTGTATTGTTTCTCGTCGTTTAACGATGTTATGGACCAACAATATGAAGAATAAACTTGTAATATTATAAAGAAAAAGTAAGATACAAGTAGAATTATTATATAAAAAGGTAGGATAAAAGATAAAGTATGATTATTTAATAATAAGGGCAAAATGAGAGGAAAAAATTAGGTAACGGTACGACCACGCTAAATCGATCGTTCTCCATAAAGTTACGTAACGACGGATTTAATAATACAATACGATAAATTTTAAGTAAGAATACGCTACAATACAAAAGGTAAGAACCATCCAAATTAAACTAGCTTTAAGTATTTGAAAACAAGCTTAAGTTCCAAGAAGAATAATGCGCTTGCGTAGCAAAAACTAGTACTTAGAAAACTTGAAGTTTAGCATCAAATTGGAAAAGGAAAATTACATAAAAAGGGGTCTTAATGCACTAATGGAACAAGAAGAAGATAAATCACAGACAACACAAGCAAATGAAAGAGACATATATAGCTGCAACACTAGCCAGATTCTTCATTCTTCCCATTTCCATTGTCACCATTTTCCTTAGCATCGCCATTAATAAAAGCTTCTTCGTCATCACTGCTACTTTGCTCTCCATAAATCTTACAATCGTCGTCGCTATCATCATCATCATCATCATCTTCATCTTCTTCTTCATCGTCTTCATCTTCACCATTATCTTTCTCATTATTATCGTCTTTTTTATCATTATCATCATCATCATCTCCACGTCCGTTATTAGAAGTCTCTTCTTCATCATCACTAGATGTCATTTCGCCATATATCTTTCCATTCCATTCTCCACTATCATCGCTACTTTCTTCAGAATCGCCGGCGCCTTCATCTTCATCATCCTTCATTTCAGCGGTGTCATTGCTTTCAGGTTCTCGCGCTGTATTATGCTCAACAAGAGGAAACCTACAACAATATGTGATTGAACATGAAGGGAATACTTCTACCTAAATAATTAAATTGAATAAAGAAATTACTAAAAACCTAAATATATACCTCCTCGTCATTCAGTCTGAAAAAAAAAAAATCATAATCTGATTAACAGATCTACACATGTGAGAACGAAGCAAGATAGTGTTAAGAAAAGAAAAAGAAAACTAAAGAGTTTCAATACATCAACAGTTAGTATATATACATGAAACCGTTGTGATCAATTAAGTATTTGAAACAAACCAAGCCAAACTCAACGTGGGAGATGGCATACGTCGTCAAATTAAGAAACACTAACTAGTATCTATACAATTTTAGGTTTGGCATCACTGAACCTTAGAACCATAAAAGGGTAATTAATCCGGTGCACAAAGTATCACGGATTCACGCAGGGTTCGGGAAGGGCGGTATCAAGGGTGTGAGGTAGACAACAACAACAACAAACAACAAATCCAATGTAATCCCATAAGTGGGGTCTAGGGATAATATATTCGCGTACCTTATTACTATCTTGTAAAGGTAGAGAGATTGTTTCCGATAGACCCTCGACTCAAAGAATAGTGAAAATAAAGCAACAAATAGTAGGGAAGGGTGTGCCTAATGCGAGCATTAGTGGAGACATCTTCTGATCAGCCTAACCTAATGAAACTTGAAACCATAAAAGAAGGAAAAAAAACACACAGACACACACATAAAGTGTGTCTGTATATACATAAGAAGCTAAAATGTATACCACATAGAGGAGAAACACTAAGCAAGACATCAACTGAGTAACTGATCTTTCTGACTCCATTAATGAAAATCTTTTAGCTATATATTTGTAGAGAGAGGAGACAAATGGGTTGCTTGCTGCTGGTTGGAGAGCCAGTATTTACATTAGGGGTTTCAGGAATCTATGTTCTGTCTAGGTAGAGCTATAATATTTTTCCTAAATTTGTTCGAGACAGATTTGGAATCAAATTTGAATAGATGAACGATTACTTTAATAAATAAAAGACGAAGATCTAAAGTTAATATTTTATCAAAGGAAAAACTGTAAATTCATTTTGAATATTTAATATTTTTCCTAAAACATTATTTTTCACTAAAGGAGTTACTTATTTGGTATCTTCTTCGTTGATTTTGCTTCTAATATTTGTCAATTAAGGAAGCCTCAGTCTTGGAGGATTGGAGGCAGTGTGAAACTGTCATTTTATGCTGTGTGAAGGGAGCATATATTTAGGTTAAGCCATTAAATTTTTTGAAGTTCCGTCCAAAAGCTATAAGGCAAGTTTGAAATAAATTCCGTATTATATCGATTAGATGTGTCGCGTAAATGGTGTGGGTACGATGCGAGACGTTTTCTTTATCACGAGGCGAGGGCACAAGTCTTGAGGTACGCCCCATGGATAATTAAATTTTAATATTTTATAAATTAATAAAAGGAATTTATAAATAAAAATATATTAATTTTATAAATAATTTAAAAATTATAAAATTAGTAGGAATATATATATATACATATATTAAATATGCTAACATATGCATGAAACATACTTCTTTTTTTTTTGAAAAAATAAAAGACGTAATAATGGAACACACCTATAACATGACTGTGATAGAACATACTTAAAGTTATAAAAATAATATTGTAGTTCCTAATAATTTAAAGAATAAAAATAACAATAATATAAAGTTATTGTAAAAACCTAAACAAGATAGCAGATCATAAATACTCATTGAATAATACGAATAGTCAGAATAGAGTTATCAAAATAATATCTAAACAAGATGGATACCAAAAGAAATTATAAAATCAAAAATTAACTTGAAAAGAATATATAAATAAAGAATATACATAAAAAGCTTGAAGAAAATAAAATATAAAGAAGGAAAATGCAAGCGTGAAAGTAGAGTAAGAATTGGAGGACAAAACTCTTTTCTTTGTAGTTTGTACTTTACAAACAAAGGTCTAAAGTATATTTGTTACTCAATAATAAATTATAAAATTAGGACAAACAATTACAAAAAGCTTTTTTTTTAAAAGATTTTTAGTTCAAAAATTTACTAAAGTTAACTTTTGTATATTTAAGTTTTAAAAATGATTTATTAAACAATTTTAGCTTAATTTTTTGGAAAAGTTCTTTGGGCTTATGCCCCAAATGAACGCCTAAAACGTTGGGACTTATGCCTAGGCTTGGAATGTTGGGGCTTACGCCTCACAGTTCTTACGCCAGCACGTCTCGATACGTTTTTGGTATGCCTCGCCCCAAGGGGTTGCCCCAGAACTCATCTAGAAAATGTCTTTTAAAACACTATTTAAGATATTTCAATTCATATATTTGTCTTGTTATTTTACAATTAAATATGCATTAAAACTTTAATTAGAAAAAAATTAAATTTATAATTTACCAATCAATCATATGTTTGGAATCTCCTTTTGAAGAAATATATTTGGAATATGGAGCCACTCACCATGTTTGTACCAATAACGAGTTATTTGCCTCTTATGTTCCCGCTGGGCCCGACGAGACTATCTTTATGGGAAACTCTGCAACAACAAAAATTGAAGGAGTTGGGAAGATATCTTTAAAGTGACTTCAGGCAAAGTTGTGACTCTAAACAATGTTCTCCATGTTCATGACATTCGCAAGAATTTGCTCTCTGTTGGACTTCTTATCAAGAGTGGATTTAAGTGTGTTTGTTTCTAAAAAAATTTATAATAAGTGAGAATAATGTGTATGTAGGAAAAGGTTACCTAACTGAAGGCCTTTTTAAGTTGAATGTAATAACTATTTATATCATTAAAGTTCAAGCTTCTTCTTACTTACTTGAGTCAAATAATTTATGGCATGCATGTTTAGGTCACGACAACTTCAAAACTATACGAAAAATGGCTAACTTGGAAGTATTGCCTAAATTTGAATGTGATAATTTAAAATGTCAAATATTGTGGAATCTAAGTATGTTAAATATCCTTATAAGTCAGTTGAAAGGAATTCAAATCCTTTAGACTTAATTCACATAAATATTTGCGACATGAAGTCAATACCATCTCGCGGTGGAAAAAAAGTGTTTCATAACTTTTATTGACGACAATACTAGATATTTCTATATTTACTTACTTAATAGTAAAGATGAAGCAATTGAGGCGTTCAAGCAATACAAAAATGAAGTTGAAATGCAACTAAACAAAAAGATCAAAATGATAAGAATGATAGGCGCAACGAATATGGATCTCCTTTTGAAGAAATATGTTTGGAATATGGCATTATTCACCAAACAACTACCCCTTACTCACCACAATCTAATGGAATTGCGGAAAAAAAGAATAGAACGTTAGAGGAGATAATGAATTCCTTGTTGATAAGTTCGGGTTTATCCCAGAACTTGTGGGGGAAGATATTCTTACAGCTAAATAAATACTCAATCGAGTTTCCCATAACAAAACGCAATCCATTCAATATGAAAAATAGAAATATAGGAAACCCAACTTAAAATATTTTAAAGTGTGAGGGTGTTTGGCTAAAGTACATGTTCGTAAATCCAAAAAGGTAAATATTGGACCAAAAATCGTTGATTGCATTTTCATAGGATATGTAAGAAATAGTAAGGCATATCATTTTGTGGTTCATAAATAAAAAATCCCGAAATTCATATTAATACGGTAATCAAATCCCATAATGCCGAATTCTTTGAGAATATTTATCCGTATAAAAATGATGTGAGTCATCTAGTGACAAATCTAAGTGACCTCGAGAAAAAATAAAGGAAAGTACATTTAATGAGGAAAATCCAAGACGTAGTAAATGTCAAAGGAAAACTACTTCCTTTGGACCAGTCTTTCTGACATTTTTGTTGCAAAATGAGCCTTAAACGTTTAAAGAAGCAATGCCTTCCTTGAAAGTACAATATAAAAAAAGAGGCAGTCAATAGTGAGATAGAATCCATATTAAGTAACCATACTTGGGAATTGGTTGATCTTCCTCTAGGATATAAACTGTTGGGTTCTAAGTGGATTTTCAAAAGGAAAATAAAAGCTAATGGAACTATTAACAAATATAATGCAAGATTAGGTGTCAAAGGGTTTAGACAATGAGAAGGTCTTGATTATTTTGATACATACTCGCCGGTAACGAGGATTACATCTATTCGGGTGTTAATAACGTTAGCTGCCGTGTATGGTCTTGAAATCTATCGGATGGATGTAAAGACAACCTTCTTAAATAGACATTTGGAGGAAGAAATTTATATGGAATAACTTGAAGGATTCGTGGTTTCCGAAAAAGAAAAGAAGGTGTGCCGACTTGTTAAGTCACTTTACGGATTGAAACAAGCACCCAAACAATGGCATGCAAAATTTAACCAAACAATGTTAGCAAGTGGATTTAAGATTAATGAGTATGATAAATGTGTTTACATTAAAAACACTCCAAATCATATAGTCATTGTATGTTTCTACGTTGATGATATGTTAATAATGAGCGAAGACATTGCGGATATAAATACTACTAAGCGTATGCTTGCTAGCAAGTTTGATATGAAAGACTTAGGAGTTTCCATTTTAATTCTAGGAATTAAAATCCATACGACTCCTCAAGGACTAGCATTGTCTCAATTTCATTACGTTAAAATGGTACTTGAAAAATTCAAGTATTTAAATTTCAAAGTCGCCAAGACCCCGATTGATGGAAATGTTGCTCTTACAAAGAATCTAGGTCAGAGCAAATCTCAACTAGATTATGCTCGAGTATTGGAAAGTTTAATGTACATCATGAATTGTACACGACCTGATATAGTTTGTGCAGTAAGTAAACTGACTCGTTACACAAGTAATCCCGACCAAACTCATTGGATAGCAATAAAATAAGTTTTGGGGTATCTAAGACATACCCAAGATTATGATTTACACTATAATAAGTATCATGCGGTAATTAAAGGATATAATGATGCCACTTGGATAACTGGATCATCAGAAACAAAGTCCACAAGTGGATACGTTTTTACCATTGGTGAAGGAGTACTGTATGGAAATCAACGAGACAGACATGCATCGCTCGCTCTACAATAGAGTCTGAGTTTATAGATTTAGATAAGG